TAATTACAGCATTGACTTTACAGAAAATCACCACGGTAATACAGACATCAACAAAATAAAATTCAATAATTGCAGTGCTGCTAAAATTATCGAATTAACTTCCTCTGACGAGGATAATGACAAACGACTTTCAAAGAAAAATCCTCAACAAATAAAAAAACAGCCGACATCCTCTAAACATGTCAAACAACCTATAAAATCTGAATATGTTGAGAAGAAAAAACTAGAAGCCGCTACGCGAGTTTTGCCTAAGCCAAGAGAAACTAGACAACTTGAGATCAAACATACTCCAAGATCATTTCCAACGCCCAGCAGAGAATCAACCGTGGAAGAAGAGGAAACCTGGTTAAAAAATATCACACAAGCTAGAAGAGCCACTGGTGTATATTTTTAATTATTTTCTAATTTAGTTATGTTTTAGTTCGTCATGAATTTTAAATATTAAAATTATAATTTACATTTTCAGGTTTCGTATCTGAGGACCTCCGTCCCGAGGAACAAGATCCTCAGTGGTGTAAAGAGAAAGGCGATGAATTCTTTCGAAGTGGAAATTTTTTGGGAGCAATAAGCGCCTACACGCACGGTATCTCATTGTCCGATAAGTTGCCAAGTTTATATTCCAACAGAGCAGCAACACATTTCGCTCTTGGAAATTTTAATAAATGTGTAAGTTTGTAAAACTTAATGTTATATTTGACCTCGAGTGATTTAATGATCAATGAACCTGTTCTTCTTACGAGTTTTGGCATCCTACGTATAGATTGCGACCAAAACTAATAGAGAATCTGAAAAATAATAAATTATGTCGTTTACCGGCTTGAGAGTAGCCGCATTCTCTGATTATTTGATTCTTTTTTTCTCCGATGTTCTTGCAATTATTAACGTCGGATAACAGATGGGAAATTACGAGTAAGCGATATTTAACATTCGTTTGTTAATTGGAAGACGATTGAATTGACTAAATTGAAACCAGATAGGAGTAAAACATTTAATCTTGTTTTATAACAAGTGGTAAAATTAACAAAAAAAAATGTACAACCGACTTCAATATAAATTATTAAAGATAACTCAAAAACTACTGGTTAGACCTTGACCTTCATACGGGACCACTTGAGAAGCAGCAGCCTTGAAATAAAAAAATAATCATTAAAATCGGTTCAAAAAGTAATGAGGTAAATGAGATAATTGTAGGGATTACTGTAGCTCACACAACTTACTTCAAATAAAGGACTCGCAGGATTGTGAAATAAGATTGAATGCTCACAGCCTGTGATGTTGTTGTGGCGGTGAAAAATATTTCATTATCCCGTATCGTTCCGAGGGTGTGGTAAGAGGTGACAAGGGAAAACTGAAACAGGAAATGGACAGCATTTTAATACTCAGTAATAATAAAAAAAAAACTGCAATTGCTACCTACCTACCTAGCGTAACAACTTTGGCAAATATCCCCCCTATGAGGCAATCTGTGAATCAGGCCTATGTTCAGCAGTGACCTTTTGATAGGCAGTAACGGCTATTGTACTGGGGCTTTTTTGCTATTCAAACTGAGTGCAATACCCCAATACGTAACAATCCTAAATGACTCCTAGCCTACTAAATATTACTGACGAGAAACATACGGGGAAGTATATGTTGCTAAACCTTTAAATATTATATTTTGAGTTATAACAGATTAATTTATATTATGACTAGTTCACTTTAAATTCAGTCTCGCAAAAGAAAGTATTTTTAAAATATCCCTTTTCTTCAAAATTTCGATTAAGTAGTAGTTTTGATTTAAATTTATGTAGAACATAGTTTTTGCCGTGTAGTGCCCGCATAAGAGAACCCACTACGCCATATACCGTGGCTTTCGTAAGAGGCGACACACGGTAATGGAGAACCTGTTAACAGCTTAAAATAATAAAAAACTTTGACAGACTGTAATGGATGAATGAACCATTTTTTTTGTTTTATACTTGACTTTACAATTATATTGAAATCTTCGCGACAACTCACATTTTACCTTACGTTACATAATTACATTTTAAGACCGATTTTGTTTACCTTCATACATAAATAACAGAGCAATTACACGTACAGAACTAAATAAATGACTTCCTTATTCAGGTGAACGATTGCTCCACTGCTCTGGATTTAATGAAGCCGCCTTGCGAAGGTAACCGTCAGAGTCGCGCCAAATGTATAGCTCGGCGCGCTGCTGCCCTCGCCCGCCTGGGTTATTTGAGCAAAGCCATCGACGAGATGAAAGCAGCGTCAAAGTTGTTGCCGGAGGATGAAAAAATCAAAAAAGACATTTATGACATGGAAAGGGCGTGGGAGCAAAATCCTGATTCCGATTGATTTTTAATAAGCTTAAATGATTGTTACGGAGTAAATTAACGTGTTAAGAACAAAAAATATATTTTATTTAAAGTTAATAAGTTAAAAGGTCAAAGTATCGACGACTACCACTTGAGAAGAATGGTTCTTGAGTACCCTCTCCGCACAAGATGGAGTGACGACCTGATAAAACATGCAGGTAGTCGATATTTTTTATAGAAGACGCAAGCGAGCATGCGGCTCAACTGATGGTAAGTGTCGACCGCCGCCCATAAATAATTACAATACCAGGCGGATTGCAGGTGCTTTGCCAGCCTTTTATAGTGAAGCGATCTCGTTTCTTGAAGGTCCCCAAGTTGTATCGGTTCGGAGCAATCACCGGCGGTACACGATTCCACAATGAAGTCGTGCGGGGTAGGAAAACTTCTAGTAAATAACATAGTGGTGGACCGCCAAACATCCACATGGTGTGCATGACATCGTGAGTTTAGTCGCGATGTGTTGGTGAATTTGGTTTTAATCGCAACAATTCCTCTGAGCACTCCTCGTGGTAAATACGCAAATACGCCTTATATAAATCTCAGCGCCATTGAATTCAGCTGTTCAGAAACTCGGTTGTCGACGATTCGGGCCGTTCTTCGCTGAAATCTCTCAAATGATATTCCATGTGAGGCTGAACCTGCGCGTCTAAAGTAGCATTCCAACCAATCATTAAAGGTGACCGCGGAACTGACCGTCATTGGATATGTCGACGCCAAGGACTCCGATACTGGTTAAGGCAATAAAGGGAGTGTCCTGAAATTGAAGAAATACTACTATATAGTGAGCTAACCTGTGCCTTCGGGGGGTTAAACTGAACTAGATTTAGTCAGCTGCCAGCAACGCAAAGTCAGGAATTTGCATTAAGAAAAACTCAAAATTAGGGGATTTTTAGATGCTAATTAGTACATATAATCACGCCTCTTTCCCGTAGGGTAGGCAAAGACCACTTCTTTCCACTTGCTACGATGCTAACATACTTGTTTCGCTTTGTCCACTTTGATTAGGTGCCAATAATTTTGGGTTTTTCTAAATGCAAATCCCTGACTGCGTTGCTGGCGATACACAACTGATTTAATCGCCCCTTATCCGAGACTTGTTTAAAAATACTTGACACAAGGTTATTCCGGCACCCGACGACCTGTTCCCAAGAAATATTAGCACGGCTGGTGTACAAAGCATCGCCACGTATGCAAATGACAGCAATTTCCATGGCCATGAATGTTACTACTTTCTAACATATGATTGATATACAGAAGGAACAGAGTAGGCGATAGCATGCTGCCTTGTGGAACACCAGCATTTACAGACTTGGAGTCGAAGCTTGCAGCGACGACTACGACCTTAATATTTCGATCTGTGAAAAAGTTGGTGGCCTAACTGCATAATTTTTCAGGAAGCCCATAAGATTAAAGCATCGAAAGAAGCGCTTTATGTCGAACCGATCGAAGGCCTTCGAATATCAAGCTAAATGCCAAGGCTTTCCCCTTGGACTGTACTGCATCCGTCTATCTATGAGTTACGTAAACTGAAATATCACCAGCTGAGGGACCCTGATGGAAACCGTATTGGCAAATAGTGGCAATCTATAGAAGGGACTTATGTTCAGCAGTTTTATACGTGGTAGAGCCATGTTGCAGCTATATTAATAGTATAGTTGTAGCACGAATGGGTCGGTTCGACCGGGGAAGGACCACGCTCTCACACAATACCAGCGTAAAATAGCAGCTTAATGCTGCTGTTTCGTATGGTGAGTGTAGAGAACCGGAGACCCTTTTTAGTGGAAAAGTAGGATTCTATCTTAATCCTCACGGCTGACAACGCATCTGCATTTTAATTCGCAAACAAGATAGATGTAGATGTCTATGGGCCACAGCAACCACTTACCATCAGGTGGACTGTGTGCTCGTTTGTCAGCCTTATTCATTAAAAAAGTGGGTTTGTGTTGGCCTGCAGTATCACTATCAAGTGATGCTGGCTACTTGTCTGAGAAATGATTTGGAGGATAGGTGAAGTCCCCCACACGCACTAAAGCAACACGGCGTACAGACTGTTTCTTAACTCAGCAGTAGGACGTATATGGGGTGGCAGGCAGGCGCTACGCGATGCATCTTGCTAGTTACCGAAGGAGGTTCTGGCGACAATAAATCGTATATCCATTCGAATAAATCAAGAGCTCTCAGTACCTCAGACAAACAATGGGAAACAGCTTTATACTAATCCGCCTGCCCAATGTGGTAAGGATAGGCAAATCCTTCAATGTGCATAGCATAGCCAATGGGGTTTATTCATTATAATCATCATCATTACAGCCTTTCGCAAGTCCACTACTGAACATAGGCCTTCCCCAAAGTATTCCACAGATCACGGTCCGTGGCAACTTGCATCCGTCGACTTCCCGCATTTCTTGCCAGATCGTCACTTCATAATCTGGGATTCGACGTAAACTTCGCTTACCGGTACGAGACTGCCACTCAAGAACCCCTTTTCCCATGGAGTTTATGGACAAACTTCTTGTCTTAACTTCAGGCCACATTAAAATCCGTATGAAATGAAATTAGTATCGAAAAAGAAAACAAATTATAACATACACATTATATTAATACGAATTATACTATAATACACTACTTAGAGTTGTTTTATTCATCTACGACTTTTTTGGGCAGTCCAAGATTTTTTAAGAGTGCGTGTGGAGAAGGATCTCTGCCACGGAACCTTCTGAACACTTCACTCGGGTGGCAAGCACCGCCTGTAGCTAAAAACGTGTCTCTATATCTTCTTCCAACCGCCATTATGTCCTCGTCGCCTTGTCTCGCTTCCTCGAAAGCACTGTAAATATCAGCTGCGATCATTTTCGACCACAAATGGCAGTAATAAGCCGCACCCCATTCTTCAGAAAAGATTTTTGTAAAGGACAGCGGGTGCGAGTCGTATTTGTCGAATGGTAGCGCATTATATTTTGGCCACAGCTCTCTCACAAGATCTCTCCAAAACGTCTTCTTCGAATGTAGTTCAAGATCCAAACGCGATAAATAAAGTTCCTTGCACAAATTGTATCCAGACATGTGTTGTCTAACATTCTGAAGGTTTTGCACAATTTCTTTCGGTAGCGGTTCCTCGGTGCTGTAATGTCCGCTAATTGCTTGTATTGTGTGAGGATCGTAAAGCCAGTGAGTCATTACATGACCGCAGACTTCAGCCGCGTCCCACTCCACGTTCGACAGACCGGCCACTTCAGAGTAATTTGCTTTGGTTAACAAATGTCGTAATGAATGTCCAAATCTTTGAAATAGAACACCAACTTCTTTGAAAGACAATAAAGACTGTTTTCCATCAAATGGAGGTTGGAAATTAAAAATAAGAGCAGACAGAGGCAATGTCGATGTGACTGAACATTTGTTACGAATTGATATGTGCCAACCCGCATCGTCATAAACGCGTATCTTCTCATCTTGCCGAGCATAGGGGTCAAAATAAAAACCAGCAATAGGATTGTTGCTGGAGTCATCAAATACATCATAGAACTTAACATCCTTGTGCCATGTATGTACATTAAGCCTCTCAACAATTTGAATTTTGAACAATGTACTGCACAAATTGAATAAACTATTGATAACCTTTGGCAGTGGGAAGTATTCACGAATTTTATCTTCATCAAAGTTGTACAGCGACCATTTTTGTTTCCTTTGCCAGTATGGTATATCCCAATGCTCCAAATTTTTATCAAAACCTCTCTCATTTGCATAATTCTGTAACACATCTAATTCAACATCCTGCATGGGACGAGCACTTTCAAGCAAATTATCGAGAACATTATAAACATTTTCTATAGAGCCCGCCATTTTTGTCTCCATACTCATGTCAACATATGTGTCAAAACCTAAAAGCGTAGCTTGCTCCTGACGTAAGCTACGGATTTTTTCTAAAACTGTACTTGTTTCAAAATCTTTATTACCATACCCTGAGCACCGCTGGACATATCCCTGCCAAGTGTTCCATCTTAAAACTCTATCTGGACAGTACTGCATAAAGGGCTCATAGATATACGGTTGCAGTGTTATTTTCCAGGGACCTCTACTTGCGTCATTGTTGACAGACATAGCTTTAGCGAGATTTTCTGGGAATTCTTTAATAACTTCTTCATCATTTATAATACTACTGAAAGCTTTGGTAGCAACATTGACTTTATCACGGAAAATGTGCCGCTCTTTCTGCAATGCACTTAAAAGGCTATTAAGCTTTTCACGTTTCACTCCTTTAACGTCTAGACCATTTAACTTTCCTTCTAATATGTATTTATCTAACAATCTTTGTTCTTCATCTGTAAGTTTTTTTAAACGGTTTTTTTCATTGACTGCTGCGTGAAAGATTGGTATACTATTAAATTTAGAGGATCTGGCTTTGTGAGCCCGTTCATGAATCTGTAAATAGGACTTTGTGGGCATGAGCGAACTATTTCCCAAATATAAAGTTTTCGCTATTCCCCAAGTCAATTCAAGCTGTCTGTCAAGTTTTTCAAGCGGCTGAAATATTTCCACAAAAGCATTTCTACAATCTGTTGCAGATTCTTCAATCACTCTAACTCCACTTTCATATTCCATGCTCTGCTTGCTAATAGAAGCAATACACTTTTCAATAGTAATATCACTGAACTCAGGCAAGCCATTTTCTGATAAAAGGGTATTTTTATCAGCATCTTCACCAATTTCGGGAATCCTGAAAGCAGAATATTAATTTTTAGTTGTTTGAGCCCAAAATAATAAACATGGATGAAAAATATGCAACAAAGGGTGTCTCTGCATAACAGACAGAGAGTTTATAGTCAAATCAAGATTTGACATATTAATATCACAAAGGAAAATAAAGTTATGACATAATATCATACATATCGTAAAGTCATTAAGACAGCTTTCCATAACCTGCAAGTTGGATTGAGAAAGGATTTTTTTTATAGAACAAGGGTGACAAACGAGCACACAGTCCACCTGATGATAAGTGATTGCTGTGGCCTATACACATCTACATCTATCCTCAATTAAGAATCTTGATGCAGATATGTCGTCACTCTGGGACTAACATGGAATGATTCCTTTCCAGTCAAAAAGAGTCTCCGACTCTCTACAATCACTATATAATTATTGGTTTGGGCTATTGAACATTCTGCTAAGATTACAACAATATATTGGACGGAAATTGAAAAGAGGAACATTGATTATTTATGATATTATAGTATATGTTAATATTTAGGCATAATTATTGATAATAGACATAAACTATAAATATTGATAAATATACATTAATAATATTGGAGTGTAGTATTCATGAATAATTTTCCATAAGATTTATATACTTAGATATATTTCCCACAAAAGTATGGCCCTCAAATCAATTGTAGGTTTTATAATAGTTTAGTCTGAATAGACTATTGTTGTTTTTCTTAAGTCTAGTAGATAAATTCCTAAGAGTGCACTTTAAGAAGACTTATAAAGTTCAGCAATGGACTGCTAACATCTAACGCCAACAGAAGACCTGCAAGAATAACTTGTAAGACAAAAGCACACATTCTAAGTAAGTAGAAAAGTAAGACAGACTGATAAAAAAATTCTGCGTAGATCGGACCAAAATTAATAATTAAAAAGCTGAAGGTACTCCGGGTTAACTTTGACATCGGGACGTCAATCACCTCAGTCCCCCGTGACCACGGTTGCTGGAAAGCACTCGAAACGTCGGGATATAAAATAACTTAATTAAACGCGATAAAATCCGTAAAAGTAGTTTAATTCAATGTGTAGTGTTCGCGTAAATATAAGAAATCATTAATATTGTTAGATATACTAAACATACAATGTTTCATTCATTCCTCCATTACAGCCCTTCACAAGTCCACTGCTGCACAAAGGCATCCCTCAAGGAATTCCACAAAGCACGGTCCTGAGCCACCTGCATCTAGAAGTGGGCGATACAAATCGTATATAGATACAATATCTATATATCAGTACAATATCCAATATCTATATATCCGACGACAAACTATGTATTAGATATTACGATATTACGATACCGTGTTGATATAAGTCATCACAGAATATCTAATATTAATTAATATACACTGATTCGGATACCGAACAAACCTTGAGCGCATTAGAATATATAGCTAAAACAGATATTACGACTACTTTACAACGAAAAGGTGATACGCTTACGCCTAATATTTTTAACATTAATCCTTATTAATAGTAACATACAATTTATTATAGAACACATAATTTTCAATATCCAGTCTAAGTAGTATAGTTTTATTATTATTTTCTTGTGTTGCACTGTTTTCAAAATAAACTATTTTAGATCTTATTGTGTATTTAATAAAATATTATTTTTGGTATGTAAATTAAAACTGAGAAAATTACGAAGGAAATTTTATTTCACCGATTCTGAAAAATTATGTGCTACTGTGTTTCGTATGGTGAGTGTAGAGAACCGGAGACCCATTTTACTGGAAAAGAGGCATTCTATCTTAGTCCTCACGGCTGATAACGCATCTGCATTTTAATTCACAAACGAAGATAGATGTAGATGTCTATGGGCCACAGCAACCACTTACCATCAGGTGGGCTGTGTGCTCGTTTGTCATCCTTATTCTATAAAAAAATACCCGCTTTCTAGATATGGGATAATTTCCTCTGGCGTAAGGGTATAACCACTAACCATAACCACAAGTGTGGCATAAAATATAAAGGTTCAATTTTATATCAAATAAATGTTGCAATCTTTATTTTTAAACATGGAGAGCCTAAAGTTAAGTGTAATAAATTAAAATAATATATTCTTTAGAGTAAATGAGTACAAAATACTTTGTAATAGCGCCACCTTCTAGATTCTATACGTAAAGTGATTTTATCGAACAAAAATTTATTAACTTTCAAGGTAGTATGTACAATATAGGTACGCTAGATGGCATAAACACGACACGATTCAATTTAATATTCTATTTCATTATCTCGCATATATATATGACGGCACCTGCACCGTTGTAGGTGCGGTGTCGTCGGTCTAGCTAGACAGAATTCTTGTAAACGACACGTGTACCGCACACCTGCGGCATTGCACCTGCGTTGCCACCCGTCCTGCTTGTATAAAACGGACGGAGCGGCCGCCGTTAAGACAGTCTTGGCTCTGACGTGGAACGGTACGCTTGTCGTATTCCGTTACTAGTTTATCCTTAACTCGTTGGATAGTTAATTCGAGTAAACGAATTAATTATTATTCCTAACTACAAAATTAGTCTCTGTACTATACATAATTACCCTTTCTACATCAGAAGTGGGATAAAGTCCCTGTTACTGCCCACCTGCTATAACCTTTGAATAGTGTAAGGGTTATTACGTTGGTGAAATACTATAATGCGCCTCGCGTTTTGTTTTTGTGTTCAATTTCTTAAATCAAGCTTGTTGTCGTATTTACGACATTGACGAATCATTAAAGTGTAGAGTAAAAGTTTAAAGTGAAATGTTTTAAGTCAAAAGTTAAATCTTTTAATTCAATTTATTATAGAAAGTACCCGCAAGTAATTTCATTATTTCTTAACGTACCCAAATATGGTAACAAATGTCGAAAGAAATGTTGGAGATATTCTGAATGAGTTATAGTTTGCATTCAGTGGAAGTTTAACTTGCTCAAGTAATGTTATAATTTGATACACGAGGTGTGATTTACATGACCTAGTTTTAAAGTTCAAAATGTTTAAACTATGTACCGAAAAAAAGAACATGATTACTTTAACGTGCTATGACTTAAAAACACTAAGTAGTATTTTTGTGATCTAATGTGATGATAAGTGTTACAGTTTACTCCGAGCATTACGTAGTCGACAAACTTGGAATGGTTTAGTGGAAAGCGTGGAGCTGTAGCGCTCGCTTTTGAATATGCTGTCGGCTTATGACGCCGCGGACTTATTATTTGTCGCTGCTACTGATCACCATTAGATACATGAGGAAAGTAAATTTATCCTAAACATTGGCTCAGAAACTATTTTGTAAGAATGAGTGTTTACATTTTTAATTGGTTGTGAAAAATGCCGGAAAACCGAAGTATAACTGATGAAAATGAAGTAGAGCCAATTAGTTCTGACATTGAAGAGAGTATTTAAGTTTACATGAGGATCGAACCATACCAGAAGTTGTCGTGTAGCCGCAGCTCAGTATTTGGTGCCCTAGAAAGGCGAATCGTGTACCAAGAGTAGTGCTGCATTTCTTGAAATCAAGTTCCGACTGAGTATTTTTAATCTTTTCTTTTATGTGTTACAGTAGCACGTGTGATGTGATTACAAGTGCGTGAGTGTGTGCCTTGCTGGTCGTAACGGACTGCCAAGTCCAGCTGTAACATGGCCTGGTTTCGGCAGATGCCTATGCGCGTATACGCAGGCGCCATCCCGGAGCGCGCGTATGCTGTACATGGCGATGCCTCGGAAGTCGTGTACTCTGTATGCGTGGGAGTCACACTGTGTGCGCGGAAGTCGTATGCTGTGTGCACGGTAACGTTTTCTGAACATGTATTAGGCTTTGTCCTGGCAGGCGCTGTCCTGGTTCACGTTTTTAATGTGGATCTCGCAAGTTCAAGTAAGAGTATGTGTCTGATACTTCGTATGAAGACCTATGTTTACTTGTGAAAGCGAAGTGCTTTATTATAGTCCAAGGTATGAGAACGTATTTCTGTTTTAGGGCCTATAGTTAACAATTTGTTTTTCACGCAGATCATGATGACTACAACCCCGACGATGCTTTTAAACCCTCAGGTGCTCCTGCTGCTCTCGTTTTGTTGTAATTTGATAGTTCACGCGAAACATGATTATCATTTGCTATATTTTGAAATTCAAAACTTTTAAGGGTTGTACTACAATAAAGGATTAACTTTAACACGCTATGAATTAAAAATTATAAGTGACATTTTTGTGTTCTAATGTGTTGATCACTGTTGCAGTTTGCTCCGAATATTGTGTCGTTGACAAGATTGGGGTTTGATTTCGAGGGATTCGTAGAAGTCTCTACAACAATGATCAATGAGGAAGACGTTGTGATGGCTAATCGAACATGGTCAGGTACGGCCGAGCGCTGGTTAGATCGAGCCTACACCGCTACAGTCGGTTACTTATCGGCTGATCTTACGGCAGGGCAATTCAAGCGGCCGCCGAACAAATGGTGCTTTGGCGCTGTAAATGGACGGCTTTCGTAGATTTTGCGCAGTTTCCTCCTTCGCTTCGAAATATGTTGTGGTATCTGTCTCTACACATAGTTTCCATTTTTTGCAATGTTTTCAAATGTCGTGCAGTTGCCGTTTCTTAAGAGAATATGTGATGAATTCCGGAAGCTCGGAATTCCATGGTTCGCAATACATTTATCTCGATTTCTTTTAATTTTGCAAAGGAGTGCGACGATTCGCTAGCGCTAGTACGGCGCGACGGCTTGCTGCCGCGAATGTAGCACGATCGCAGCAGAACGAAAAGCTGTAGTGCGTTTGCCTGGAGGTAGCCATATCCGCGCGTTCCAGACTTAAATGAAGTCTGGGATGGTCGACCGTTGTAATATTTCTGTTAGCAAGTGGTGGTAACTGATAGACCGCATGCTGTTCACTGTCAACCGCACGAGGACGTGCGACAGTCAGAGGTAGCCGTGTCTGTGCATCTAGAATATACTACAGACGTTGCAACACTCTAGCGAAGT